AAAGATTTTTAAAAGAATTTTTCTTTGTAAATAGGAACTCTCGTTTTTCTTGTTCAAGTTCGAATTATCGTTTCAACGAGTATAAATAAATAATCCCACTGTCCCCACGAAGAGGATAAGAGACTTCAAGTGACGATGAAATTAGAGCACGTGCGTAGGACGCTTCCGTTGAATAAGCAAAGACATCTCAATGTTTCTTATCATAATTCGCGTTTATTTCGATTTGCGGTTTAAAGAATTGGAATTCCGGGGGAATTATCAGCGCTATCGGATCGATAAAAAAAGCATCGGAGTTCTGTATCAATTTCACTGGCTGAATTCGTCGGGAGGGGGCAGCTATTTTAATTACACAATGTTTAAAAATAAAAATGATTCAGTACTGCAATAACAAAAATTTAATCAATTTAATTCGATTTTCCCAGATTTTTTTACTTAATTTTCTGATCAGAAAAAAATTTAGTGAAAGCATTGACGAAAAATTCAGAGAAAAAATTTATTTTCGAGGAATTTTCATAGAAAATCTATCGGTTGAATTAATTTAACATTTTAACATGAATAATAATATAAAAATTAGTAGAAAAATTGGTCAAAATTAGAAAAATTATTTAGTAATGTACGACAAAAAATTCAATAGGAAAAATCAACAGATTTTGAACTTGAAAAATCCTTCGCCTTAATTTTCCCAGATTTTTTTACTTGATTTTCCGATGAGAAAAAAAATCAGTGAAAGTATTGACGAAAAATGCAGTGAAAAAATTTATTTTTGAGGAATTTTCCCAGAAAATCTATCAGTTAAATTAATTTAACATTTTAACATGAATGATAACATAAAAATTAGTGGAAAAATTGAAAAATTAGCAAAAATTAACAGAATTATTAAAAAAAATTTAATACAAAAAATCAACAGGTTTTGAACTTTAAAAATCCTTCGCCTTAATTTTCCCAGATTTTTTTACTTGATTTTCCGATGAGAAAAAAAATCAGTGAGTGCATTAATAAAAAATTCAGTGAAAAAATTTATTTCCGAGGAATTTTCCCAAATAATCTATCAGTACAATCAATTTCCCATAAAATCCAATTTTATTTTCTTCATCACACGTCATATGTTGCAATCATGACGACTTAATGGATTTAAATAATTATTAATGACATTTTAATTCCCTTTCAAAAATTCCTGGACCAATGAAAACCAAAAAAATTACCTTAGTCCTTTGCTTGAGAAATTTTGTAATTTTGTTGATTGGATTCGTTAATTTAGTCTTAGGCATGATGACAGCAGCCGTCAGAATCAACGCACTGAATTGAGTTCAATCACAGTCTCTTGTTTCGATCGCTCGAAATTTCTCGAATGTATGACCTCAGCAATTATGCACTTGCCAAATGTAATAATAAACGCTCTCTCCGATAGGGCGAGTGTCAGAAAAGCCCCGAAAAAATCACAGTCTCGCGCAGGCGTCAGTTGAAAAACCAGTTAATTTCACTGAATACAATTAAAAAAATTTTATCCTCCACTGCATGCCAATGTGACGCGATTTCCAGTATCCAACTAATCTCAGGCGGAACAAATAATGAAAAAAGAATGCGGAGAATACGCGTATGGACTGAAATTCCTCAACGACTATTCCAATATCTCATTCTTCTTCATTTAACAAATTTAAATTATTGACATTTAATGATGGAAAATTAGTGACATTTAATTACAGAAAATTGACATTCAATTTTTTCGTGATATTTCCCTGGACTGTCACTTGACCCTTCAATCGAGCTTCACTTCGCGGAGACTGAAGCAACACTGGGATCAGACCGGGTGCCTTCTTGTTATAATCGTCGACTAGAGCGCAAAGTGAATTGTATTAATACACATGATTGTTGTGTTTTCGATTTCACGGCGCATCGACAACTGCGCAACACGTGTTCGACGTCGGGGGAGTTTTATCTCGGCTTTCGATTTCGAGATGAAGCCACGAGTGAGGACTTCATAAATTATTAATCAGTGGAATCTGTTTGTTTTTTTTTGTTGTATTGGAGATATTTTTAGATTTTAGGTTTTTTTCCTGGTGTTTTTGAAGAGGTGGTGTTGTTCGATTATTGAATGCAAAATCATTTTTTTGTGGTATTTTCTGTCTTGAGGATTTTTTAATTCTATTTCACAATTTGTTTTTTTTCCAAATGAAAGTATTTTTGAAATTTTATTAATTTATTAATTCATTAATTTATTAATTCATCAATTTTATCAATTCATTGGCTCATTAATTCATTAATTTATTAATTTGTTAACTATTTGTCAATAAAAATTTAGTAAATTAAATTTTAATCTTTGAAATTTCTAATCAATACTCCATTTCTGCCAAACGTTGTCAGTTTCACTTGAAAAAAATACGTTTTTTGCATTCAATTCTCAAAAAAAAATAACGATAGTTGAATAGAAATCAAGTCCTCCTCATGACTGAGCTCAATTGATTTTCGGTAACCGCAATTTGCAGCTGTTTGGCATTACGCTGCTCCGTGTATCTCCCAGGAAATTAAGTGTACGTGACAATTTTCACGTTACAGTTCAAGAAGAGAAGTGTTTATTCGCATTTAATCATCCCGCGGATATTCCCAACGTGTTTCAATTAATTTGTATGCAACGAGCTCAAGAATATCCTCTCCATGACTCAGAAATTGTTCAAATCAGATGGAAATTCAACCGACGAAAATTAAGAATTTTCAATAATTTAAAATAACAATTGTTATTGATCTGTACAATTAATTGAATTCGTCAATTAATGGAATAATGGATTGAATTGAATTATTTTTAACAATTGAAACTCATTAACTCTTTCTTCATTCATTATTTTTATGAATTCTTTTCAATAATTCTTTTCAAATAATTGACATTTTTTAGCAATTTGAAATAACAATTGTGATTACTCTTTACATTTCATCGAATCAATTGAATTCATCAATTAATGGAATTGAACTAATTCAATTAACTCCATCAATGAACCAAAAAAAAATTTTTAATTTCTGAATTTCCCAAAAATTGAGTCCTCCCAGTAATCAATTCCCTGAAAAATAAAAATAAATGGCTGCCCATATCAAGGGATTCGAGTAAAACTGGTCGCTGTCACACGTGATTAATGATAATAGCCAGTGAGGATAATGGCTAATACCACCCACACGGCTATTAATACCGCGTAATGAGCGCTCCAACGGCGATATGGAAAAGGTGTCCCATGCAACTGTATTTATTGCCACTATTCCCCGCAGAAAAATCACGGAAATTGTTCATTCTTCCCTTCACAATCAACGCGGACTGCTTTCCCTGATAATGGAGTGGAATACCCCGTGCGAGAGACTATAAACAAGAGCTCAAGAATGTTGGATTAACGCCAGCCAACGCTGGCCACATAAAACGCGAGGTCTTGACGACTCAACCTTCATCGCGGGTTTTATTCATGAGTTTTAATGATTTTTCTTTTATGGAAAACATGACTCGAGTCAACGAACGTGTGTACATTCCCCACAGGCGGTTTTTTATATTTTTTTTAGGTCGGATTTAGTATTTTAACAGACGAACGGATGAAGGAATATTTTTTGGCGTTTCTTCTGGAAGACTTCCAAAGTCCAAAATAATTCGGAATTTTTCTCGGTTTGATCTCCACCCAGAGATGAGGAAAAATAACTAATCGAATGTCCATCATGAATTTTCGTCAATCACCTTGAGATTCTCTGGAATGTATTTTGAATTCTTCTCGCGTTTTCTGTTTGACTTGGGAATTAGCGCTGATTTATCACAGACAACTGTTTTGTTCTGAATATAGTTTTTCATGTTTTTAATTCTAAAATTTACTAAATAAATTGTGGGAGAAAAATTTATATTTGATGCAATCTCTCGATTTTTTTACATTTAATTGGAATAAAATTGAATTTTTATAGTCGTTTAATGAATTTCCAACAGTTTTGAATATTTTTTTTAATTACTGAAAATGTGGAGCTATATTAACGATTATGATGAGGCATTCTCAGAAGAATTATCCAGAGAAATAATTTTTTTACTAAAAAAATAGAATTATTCATTACACGTGACTAGAATCAATTCGTAATGAATTAATACTCAATAATTAATGATTTAAAAAATATAAAAACCCCAAAAACATCAAGAGAATTCAAAATAAAAAATTTAATTCCCAAAAATGAATTAATTCCGTGAATTAATTCGAGAATTCCGAATAGTTTTGAAGGTTTTTTTAATTATTAGGACTGTAGAACAATATTAATAATTATGATGAGACATTCTTACGTCGATCGCATCCTTAATTGGATCGTTGACAATCGCCAACAGGCTTTCGTTGAATAAAGAAACATTTCGCGTTAAATGGAGCCATTCTAGTTAATTTGGCACGCGTCATAATGACGAAGTTCCCTCGTTAGAATTGAACCTCGAGTTCATGCAAAATAAAAATGCGAGAAGAACCAAGGAAATGTCTAAAGCTGCATTTAAAGGGTAAAATTGTTTTTTCCTTCTCCATTAATCAGAGGATATCTGCAAATTTATGAATGGCATGCGTCATTTCTCAGTTTAGTTCCTGAGCTTTTCCATGACGCAGTACCAATGTTCTTCACGCATCCAGAGAAATAATTCATTTTTTCACTGCAGAAACAGAATTATTCGTTTTACGAGACTAGAATAAATTCGTAATCAATGAATACTCAATAATTAATTATTAAAAAAATACCAAAACACCAAAAACATCGAGAGAAATCAAAATAACAATTTCTTTTTCACAAAAATCAATTTCTCTGGATGAATTAATTCGAGATATCAGTGATTAGAGAATTGAAATAAATTATTCCTCACATTCACAATCAGTTTCTAATGTGCAGAGGAACACAGAGACAATGAGTGCAAACATTTTGCGTGTACACGAGTGTCTCGAGGATAAACAAATATTTTCAAAGTCTGTTTCTCAAGTTTTACTGTTTCTGTTTCGTTTTTTTTGGGTGTTAAAGGCTACCTGGGCGTCCTGGGGCTGCTCTGAGTCCGCTGACGTACTCGAGACCAGCATGCTGCATAACTTTACGTACGGCGCCTTGAGCCGCTGAATTATCCAATGCACATGGTCACCAAGTTATTTAAAAATTTTCTCACTCATCATTTTTCAACACTCGATTATTCTCGTCTTCAATTCCCATTATTCTAGTCAATTTATGGGGCATTTATTGGTGAGAATTATCGAATGTCAATCTTTAATCTTAATTTTCAAGACTAATCCTCAATTTTTTAATTAAAAATCGACTGAAATAAGACGAAATCACGAAATTCATTGACAATTCATTAAATAATTAACTCATTACTTCAAATTAATCACTGAATTAATTATCTAAATTTTTCTATAGAACTGAGGAGCTCCGTAATTCCACGACTATCTCCTCATTAAGCTCGCATTAAAAAAATTATTAACGATAACTCACCTCCCATGACTCGCGCGTCAGTTCACTAATCTCATCACCGGTTTTGCTCTCCTCAACGGATTCACCGGTTTCTCCCCCTTCCTGAGGCGACGCTTCCGGCGATAGGTCTGTGTCAGTGTCCGAGAGGATGTAACCACGCTCGATCCAGTAATTTTCATCAAGCTCACCGTATAATGCTGGCACCCATGAGTGAATAAATCGGTACAAGTCGTCCACTCTGTAATCAATACGAAATAATTAATTGATTAAATTATGAAAATTTAATTGGTAATTCAGTTACGGAAATTTAATTATCGATCCAATTATAGAATTATCATCATCATTATTGAATCATTACTATTATTGAATTATTATAATTAAATTCAGTAGCGAAATGACAAAATAATTCAAGTCAACTTGGTTCTAAGCTGAGTATTCGGAGAATATCTCCGAATCTAAGGGAGATAGCGAAATTTTTGTAAGGACCATTTTTGTAGAGCAATTTGAGAGCTGCAAAAAAGGTTATGATGAAAATTCCGCTATCTGCCACAGATTCCGAGATATTCATAAAAAACTGACCAATTGTTAAAATCCACTTGAAGTGGTTTACTGCTTGGCTACTGAATTATTAAAGATGAATAGATTATTGATTTAATTATGAAAATTTAATTCTTGATCGAATTATTAAACTATAATCATCATTATTAAATCATTATTATTATTGAATTATTATAATTAAATTCAGTAGCGAAATGACAAAATAATTCAAGTCAACTTGGTTCCAAGCTGAGTATTCGGGGAATATCTCCGAATCTAAGGGAGATAGCGAAATTTTTGTAAGGACCATTTTTGTAGAGCAATTTGAGAGCTGCAAAAAAGGTTATGATAAAAATTCCGCTATCTGCCTCAGGTTCCGAGATATTCATAAAAAACTGACGTCGTTTTTGACTGACTTGTCAAAAACAACGATTAAATTGTCAATTTCATTAAACCGAGATTACCTTCGATAAAAAAACGGGACAGAAAATTCGACGAAGGCCCGAACATATGGATGATTGAGCAACAGTCGTGCTGGCCTCATTATTCGTGAAAGTACTTTCATTTCGTCTGGATTTATCAATTAAATGGCAAATGTATATCTGTCCTATTGAAATAAATAATTACCACGAGGGGATGGGAGAGTATTAATGCTATTTACGTGCAATTTCACGGAGAAAAATGAGTAGGCGTTCACTACGAGTCCATAATGAACCACGTGATGGATAAAAGCACGTGCTATTATCATGTGACAAGAGTTATTTCTCTCCCACTCATTCTCCAGGAGCTTATGATTTGATCAATACACGTGTAGTGGGCTGTATTGATCGATCCTCACTACCAGAATTTTAATTGTGAGATAAGAATTATTTTGACTGAATCATTTCTGGAAATAGATTGGCTCTGGAGACTGACGAATTTATTTTTTGATGGAAACATCTGATATCTCGTGGATTTTTCTTCAATTCCCTCGTTTTTTCCTATTTTTTTTTTCTCGAAGAGACATTATCGGCGATGAGCTAACAATGTTTTGACGAGAATTGATTACACATTTAGTTGTGAAAAAAATGGACGCGAGGGTTTATCCGGTGATGGCATCTCGGTACAGAAATAAAACGCCGATAGCCTCAGGTTTTCGATGAAAACAAATTTGTGATAAGACGTTTGATCATGATTAGGAATTCAGTGAATGGTCTTTGACGTAAATAGAGGGTTCCTAGTATTAATTATTTGATGACACTTTGTACTGGTTTTATCTTAAAACAGGGGAGATGACGTATCTTTATCAAATGGGACTGTTTATTTGGTAATCTTAGGCTGATTGCAATCAGATGTTCAAATTCTAATCAAATGAACGGGTTATTTTATACAAATGAGGAATTGTTACCGAATAATTATTTTATTTTTGACTAATTGTTTCAATGAACTTTGTTTAATTCGTTTGGTTCAATTGAAAAATATAATTTAAATGTTTTAATTGATTAAATAACTTTAGTTGTAATAAAAATTTATGTGAAATTGAAATTAAAAATCGTCAGGAAGTAATTTAGTGAATTCGTGAGTTGACGGGTTTAATTAATTGAATTTAAATCAATAAAAAAATGAAAATAACGTGATAATCCCATCAATTTTATTCAAATAACGTCCGATTTGAATTTAATAAAATATTAAAAATGTTTTTAATTGATTAAATGTCACTAGTTTTAGCAAAAATTTATGTGAAATTGCAATTAAATATTTTTACTTCACCTGTTTCGAGGAACACTGAACCAGTACTCAGGTCGTAATTTCTTCTTTCCATAGCTCATGATAGGAGTGGACCGAGGAATCTTCTTGTCCTTTGGCCTACCAGTGCGGAGCCTCAGGTACAGTGGTGGATCCTCGCAGCTTCTCGCTGGCCTTGGGATCAATTCTGAAACAAATTAAAATTTAATTCTCGAACACATCGTCAGCCAAACGAAGAACAAATGTCGAGGATTTGTCATTTCACACCACTCACAATCAGCAGAGGAGAAAAAAAGTGGCAAAATTTTAGGGAAAAATACATTCACGGAAATTAATAATTCAAGATGTTTTCTCGTTAAAATATTAACGAAGATGTTCACTCTATTCTCTTCAATATTATATCGTACTGATGAAATACAACAACTGTAATTCAGAAATTAATATAAATTTTAAATCGTTATGATTCTTTCGCTAAATAATTCATCTTTATTACAACTCTTTCAGCTCTCAACTGAGTTTTTGAAGAATATCTCCGAATCTAGGAGAGATATAGAAATTTTCGTAATGACCTTTTTTGTAGAGCTAATTGAGGGCTACGAAAAAGGTCATGACAAAAATTTAGCTATCTGCCCTAGATTCCGAGATATTTATTAAAAACTGTTCAATAGTCAAAATCGGCTTGAATCGACTTTAAATCGTTTTAGCGTTTCGCTACTGAATTATTATCATGCAAGGGAGGATGTAAATGTGTTGTCCTGTGGTAAGATCATGTCTCATGAGATGAGTAAAATTGCAGGGAAAGTATTCAATAGAGAAAAAAAGCGAATAATCTGTGCGCGTGGAGTCAAAGCCTAGGATCAGATGCATAAGCTCAAGGTAATGACGACAGTAGACAGCAGAGAAACCAAACGATATTTCTCATTACCCCAGAAAATATTTTCAAAAAACTCCAAGAAGATAATCAAATCAAATTGTAAGTGGAAGTAGAGAGAGTTTAAAGCCAGGGGAACAGAATATTCAGTCGTTCGTTGAAATTGTGATTAAATCAGAGCAGAGAGAGAAGAAATAAGTTAACTAATACAGTATGAACCTACCGAGGTCTTCAAAGTCGGGGAAATTGGGTGCTTGGACTAGAGGGATAACAGAAATAGATGATATTACTAGATTAGTATGAATTTTCCTCAGTTTGTGTGGTTCAATGTCAATGATAACTGAATATTTCCCTTTTTTCTCTCTAATTTTGTGATCTTGAGTGATTCGTTCAATTCTACATAAATTTTGTCTCTCAACCTGCGCAGACGAATAAATAAATTTGTCAATTTGAAGAATCACCACCATAAAATCGTATCAAAATTTTTCTTTATCACAATTAAATAATTAAATGAGTGAATAATTGAATTGAATAATTTTTTTAATTTACTCACGGTCAAAGTGAATAAATAAAACTGTCAATTAAAGTCGGCGTTGTAAATTTGAACAATCACTGCCATAAAATACTATAAACTATTTTTTAAACTAAAAAAACATTTGAACCCCAATTTACGTAGTTTAACGTCAATAATAACAGAATATTTTACTCTTTCCTCCAATTTTATGATCTCCTGATGAAAAAAAAATTGCAGTGCTTCATTTCAAAGAATTTAACAAAAAATTCGTTGAATTCTCCTCAAATTTTGTCTCTCAAAATGTCATGGCGAATAAATAAAGCTGTCAATTAAAGTCAGCGTTGTAAATTTGAACAATCACTGCCATAAAATAATATAAACTATTTTTTAAATTAAAAAAACCTTTGAATTACCCCATTTTATGTAGTTTAACGTCAATAATAACAGAATATTTTCCTCTTTCCTCCAATTTTATGATCTCCTGATGAAAAAAAAATTGCAGTGCTTCATTTCAAAGAATTTAACAAAAAATTCGTTGAATTCTCCTCAAATTTCGTCTCTCAAAATGTCAAGGCGAATAAATAAAGCTGTCACCGAGCCTCAGTGTTGTGAATTTGAGCAATCACTTCAGCAAAATCAAACATTTTGTCCCAAATATTCTTCTAAAATGAAAATACTCACTGTCAAAACTGACAAAAAGCTCGGGTTTATCATCGACAGACACGACACTGCGGTAATCTACCCTCGGTGCTTGTGTCGTTACTCTGTTACCACGTGTGCTGTCAACACTGCTGCTACTTGACGAGGTCAAGGGCTGTTGGCGAATGAAGGTCCCGACGGAGGAGCGCCTGCAAATAATATCAAAACTCAATCATCACTGATTAAATCCCCCAGACGAAACATTACAACCATATCTATGACAAGATTAACAACATTAAGAGGCAGGAGCATTCAGAGTTGCATGACAGGTACAATATTTATCACTTGACTTGTGTATCTTGTTGATTTTTAATTTTAATTGTTTTTTTTTGCTGATTGTGTGTTGCTTGCAAGCAGTCTTGAAGGGTCCACTTATCATGGAGTGGGAAAATTTGCCTGTAAAGAGTCATAATGCATCTAGAAGCAAGAGAACGAGGTCCAAGAGTTCAGAGAAGTTCAGACAAATCGACAACAGATAATTTCCAAAAGTTGCAACAGTTAGAAAGGATACGCCCGGAGAAATGATGCTTTCAATCAAATAAAACGTTTTTTTTTTCAATTTTTGTGGTCATTCATTCGTTAAAAAAATGTTTATTTAAAAAAAAATTTATTTTATTAACATAAACCATTTCTCTGGGCGAATAACAGGTAAAGCCTTACTGTATTCATATCTATTGTGTTGATAAATTACGATTATTCAAGTTGAAAGTTACATTCTGTTATCAAACCAAACGATGAAGGACTCAGAGGTAAAAATAAATCCAGGTGTCCTCATAAATGGCCTTGAACATTAATTTTAGACTAGCTAAATTCACTGTTATAATTTTTTACTTAAATTTTCGGTAATTTTTGCTAAATTTAATAGAAAAAACAACAGAAACAGTGAATTTGATGTCAATTAATCCACGAAAATTCATAGAAATCATTAAATTTATGGAAATTAGGACAGTTCATGACTTGAACATTAATTTTAGAATAGCTAAATTCACTGTTATAATTTTTTACTTAAATTTTCGGTAATTTTTGCTAAATTTAATAGAAAAATCAATAAAAACTGTGAATTTGATGTCAATTAATCCACGAAAATTCATAGAAATCATTAAATTTATGGAAATTAGGACAGTTCATGACTTGAACATTAATTTTAGAATAGCTAAATTCACTGTTATAATTTTTTACTTAAATTTTCGGTAATTTTTGCTAAATTTAATAGAAAAATCAATAAAAACTGTGAATTTGATGTCAATTAATCCACGAAAATTCAGCTCAATAAATTCTTAAATATCAAATTAATTCAGAATTCAGTGTTATTTGGTATCATATTGGATCACTATTTCGTCAAAATATTTCCTCCAAAAATGAGAGAAAAAATAACTAAAAAAATCGGAGTCAAATCATTTGATTCAACAACAGATTAATTCTCCAAGTTAAGCATGAAGGTGAAAATACAAATATTGTTGGGTATTTTTACGTCGTGGGGGGGGTGGGGTGGATGAGGATGAGGACTAGACTCACCCCAAGAGACTAGTGGGCCCTGGTGAAAATTGATAGCTGTGGTCCTGGGAGAGCGAGGAGGCGGTAAGAGGTGGTGTACTACCAGATCTACCGCCTCCGCTGCTCTCTTCACTCGGTGTTTTAGCAAATAGCCCCGAGCTAAAGTCACTCACCAGGTTGATCGGCGAGCTTTATTTTATCCACCACCATTACACAGTACTCGTTAGTTTACTCTCTTCACTCATGAATTAGTTATGATTTTTTTCCAGCTGATTTGCGCCGAGAAATACCTCAATTTATTCATTCCATTTGCATCTATTTGTCTATTTTCGCTGTTATTCTCAGATAAATTGAGATTTTTCTCGTTAATAATTAAGATTAAACTCCAAACATCACGCATTTAAGCATTTCAAAAGAATCAATGCGTCAAACAATGCAAAATTCCTCAGTTAAAACGTTAAAATTCATAATTTTATCAGTGGGATTAATCATTTGAATGAGGTAATTTGATGGCGATTGGAGGATTTTTTTTACCTTGAGAAGACTTTACTGAATACCGAGGAGTGATGGCTGTCCGCACTGTTTGGGAGACTCGGTACTTTTTCAAGTACTGTTTTGGATTCATCGTCTTTATCACCGGTGAGGCCTTCCATCCAGGATAGAGGATATGATAGCCTTTTTAACATCTGTCAACAATTAATTAATATTCAAGTTTTAATAATTCATGCAATCATGTCTATTTTACATTTTGCACTTGACATTTTTCGCATTTTCAAAATTTTTAATAAAAAATTGAAGTTAAAATAATAAATGTAATGAATTTAATAAATAAATTGACTAAAGAAACAAATAAAAATGCAGTGAACTAATAATTGTTTTTAATTTAATTGAATTTTCATATTTTTTAATGTTTAAATTTCACATTTTAATGAATTTACCTTATTTTTACGTGTCTCCTGCTTATCATCCTCATGTTTATGCTCCTCGTCTTTCTCAGGCTCCTCAGCATTGCTGTCGAGACTGAACGACACTGAACTCGCCTTCTTCCTTCCATTGACCGATGGAATTGTATCCAGAGTACTGGTACTCGTGATGTTAGTTGGTGCAATGGTTATCGGTGGTACCCAATCTGAAGATAAAACTATTTCCGCGTCCGAATACATTTTTTTCGATGGGATAGGCTGCACTACGGGAATAGGGGGTATAGGTTCACGTATGTCGATACCAGAATCGTAGCACGACTGTTTGACTAGAGATCCCTCCTCATCCTCGGGTATGGCATTGGGTTTTGATGGCTCAGCCTGCGACTTTTGTCCAGAACAAACAGGAAAATTAGCATTACAAAATAGTGAATGGATATTCCAACGTGAAGGTACCTTAAAATTAGAGGAGAGAGACGTTTTTCAGTATTTTCATGCATTATTTTTTTAATTTAATGATGGAGACTAGTTTACCTTGTCTGAGTTCAGGGAGTCCTGCTGTTCGTCGTCAACTGACATTGAGTTTCTGTCTTTGCTGGGCACTGCCCAGTGGTGATCCAGCATGGAACGCCTGCGTTCCTCGAGGGTCCTCATCGACTGGACACTCAACTCTTTGTCACTGGAGACTGACTCCTCTTCCTTCTTATCTTTCTCCTTTTCCTTCTCGGCTTCCTTGGATGTTGATCCTTCATCCTGTGGAGAATTCACAGATTGAGAATACAGTTTTTTACATTTGTATGGAGTTAATACGCAAGGGAAAATTTTTCTAATTATTTCAGTTCAGTAGAAATGAAAAATTACTGAGAATTAGAAATTTTTTCTCTGATTTTTAGGTAAAATACTTTTAAAATAATAAACAAAAATTCAATTATTACCTCAATGCATAAAAATAATTCTCTAGAGAATTTTCGGAAATTTGAGAATACAAATGTGCCCTAATTTAACTGAAATTCTACTAAATTTCAGGAAAAATGACTGAAAATTGACATTCTTTCACTCATGTACATTTAAACTCTCTTAAAATAATCAAAAATTCTACTTAAACCTAATATTTTTCCCTCAATGTGAAAATTTCTTCAAATTTTGAACACAATTGTCAAAATTGTCTCAAAACAATGGCCAAGAATGATAAAAAAAATTGTTTATTTAATGTTTTTACAGGTGTTGCTCCTGATTTTCCCTCAATCTATAAAAATAATGATTCAGAAAATTTTTAGAAATTTGAGAATTCAAATATTCCGCATTTCAGAACCAAAATTTAACTGAAATTTACATTTTTTCACTCATTATCATTTAAAATTTTCTTAAAATAATTTGAAATTCCCCTTGAACCTAATATTTTTCCCTCAGTGTCAAAATTTTCTCAAAAAAGTGGGTAAAAATATTTAAAAAAATTTTTTACATTAATTTTCCGAGCTATTGCACTTTCTTTTTCTCAATCATCAGAAAAATCAGTTCTCCAAAAATACTTTTCCCCCAGAATTGAATAATAATAATAAATACCGTAATTAAATACTCATACATACATTCTGAAGGTTGGTAGGTGTAACAAGATCCCTCTCAAAGGCCTTTGGAAATGCATCGCCCTCACGTTCAGCGCAACTGCAGACACTCTCATTATCATCGCCAGTGAGTTCGGAAAAATTCTCATCTTTGCCAGGTGACAGGCATTTTCCATCTTTCGTTGGCTTCTCCATGTAATAAATTTCCGGCTTTTTGTCTGTACCGAGAGCATCTGTGTGGCTGACCCTCATGTGAGCAATGTCGTAGTATATAGCGGCATTCACTACAAATTCCATTGGTGCTATTACACCGTACGATTCAGCTCCGTGTTCAATCACAAGGGGATCAGATACATTTGGATCAAACATCACTGCATTTGGTGTTACCAGGAGAACACCACCCACAACTCCCTGGAATAAAAAATTAATTAATAAAATAATTTACTCATTTTTTGTTTTCCTTCATTTTTATTTTTTCCCATAATATTTTTAATTAAAAGAATGAAGATGATTTAATTAAATTCATTCATTTCCAATTTATCCACTTTTTGTTTTCCTCTATTTTTAATTTTTCCATCATTTTTTTAAATCAAGACTGAATTTGATTGAATTAAACTCAATTCAATTAAATTGAACTTTAGAAAAATTGTAATTGGCTTCAATTTCGTTTGCATTGTTTTTATCATTAATTAACTACCTCAACACAATTTTGTCCCATTTTATATTGCTAAAAAAATACGAGAAAAATATTCATCACGATAATGGTTACGAGATTTCGCACAATGAAAAATACACACCTGTCCGTCTGTGATATGACGAACATTTATCTTCAAGAATCTCTCCCTGTACGCTGGCTCATCCTCATCCCCGGCACCAGTGCGACTGTCTAGTGGCGTTTTAACTCGTTCCGAGTGACCTGGTTTCGGTGATACAGGTCGCAAATTGTCCAGAAGCTCTGAAAGATATTAAAAACAATTTTTAAACCTTTAAATCCCCGTAATTGTCTGTTCATCGAGGCATGGTGACGATTTATTACGTCTGAAGATCTCCATTTAATGCTCACAACTCGGAAAAATAACAGAATGAAAAGGAGAACGTGTGAGCCAGACCAGGTCTTACGTTTTAACAAACAATATTTTCCGAGACTACTGTTAGATCAACAGTCGTGCCTTGCTACAATTGGCTGGTGAACCATTGAAATTATACGACTCTAAGCCGCACTACCGTGTCACATCGTCTTGATAACAAGTAGGTTTCAATGCTTCGAGTCAACATCTCTGAATTTAGAGAACTCAAGTGTTCAGGGGAAATAAAAAATTCAATTTCGATATTTTCTGTTGAAAAGTCCTTCCTACTGACGAAATCATTAGCTCAATTTATTGTTGACGAGCCCTACTAACGAATGAAGAACGTTTAATGGGTTTTTGATTCCTTTATGAATTAATGAATTAATGAATTCTTAATTAAGCGTTATTATTGAGTTTTTATTGATTATTATTAACGAATGGTGGAGTTGAATATGAGCGAATAAAACAAATATTTGCTCGTGTGAATGAGTAAATAATTGTTTAAAAAATACTCTTTTTTCAATGGTCACCTTTTTTTTTTAAATGAATTGTGTATTAATTATTTATGAATGGAGCACAAGGTACCTATAAAATCAGCCATAATCTCCCAACAACGGTTATTTTGCAAATGGATCAAAGGTCAGTGGCTATTGACGATCGTAATAATTTATGAAAACTGGAAATTATTTTTCCGCTGTACCTGCTACCTTCGGCACCTCTTTTTATACTGTGTAGTTAGAAGTGGTGGACGCAAGCGCGAGATTCGAATGACATCAGAGGCGCCATATTGTGACGATAATCCCGCTATTGAATCAGCTGGTCTAGTTTTTTAATTTTTAAAATTTACATTCAAGAACTTTTGTTTACTCTTCGCAAATATTGCTTCATATTTTTTACATTTAAAGACTTCTATTTACTCTTTTCCAATATTTTTTTTTATTCTGTAGTTTCAATGGAGAAGAAATTCATTACTTCTCTTTATTTTATTGAATAATTTAGTTTTCGTCGTGTTTTTTCAGAAAATTGTGGATTTTCGAGGAAATTTTAGAAGAAATTCCAAAGTTGAAATTAGATTTTAAATTTAAATTTAAAAAACTATAATTGAAATTTAGAAAGAGGATACGGGAAATTGCAGTCCAAATTTTTTATAATAATGACGTTTTGATAAATTTTTGGTGCTTCTGAGGGAAAATTTGTCATTTGTACTTTTATGAACTTGAAAATTTTGTAAATTTTCCTCGAGGACATTTTAATCAGTTATGCCATGTTAACAACAAGGGAGAAATCATGAAATTTCAAGTTTCCTCAAGTATTTTTCATTAAATAAATAAAAAAATTAAGAATATATTCATTATTTACATTTTTTTTCATTTCTATTTTTTTTATTAACATTTCTTCGTTCTTTAAAAATGTTCTTTTATATTTTGTACTCATAATATCCCATGAAATTCCACTAAAAGTCCTACGAGGTAAAATTTTCAACGAAGGGTAGAGCAAATTGCTGGCAAAAAATTTTCTCGAGGGGATTCTCGTGCCATTTTTGGCATCTCGAGGGCAAAATTTAATATTCAAGCATGAATATTGATGTTTACCTTTCTCCTCAGGTGGCAAATCATCCTGAGAATCGTGATCATGGCAGGGATCAGGACTGGGTGTATCCAAGCCAAGTTCATCAGGACCGAGACGAGCCTCACCCTTTGTGGGGACCCATAGTTGTTGTCCCGGGTAAATGAATGTGCTGCCAAGCCTATTGAGTTTGCTCAATTCTGATGGTGTTGTATCGAACCGGGCGGCTACCGATGTCAGGGTATCTCTATCGCCCACCTGAAATGCAAATTAGATTGTTCATTACGGGTGATTAATGCAGGGTAGAATAATATTATTCAGAAGACGGAATGAAACATCGAAAATGTGGCGAATTCGCTAGAAAATTCTGCGGAATTTCCATTATTTTTTGGCCAATTCTATTGAGAAACTTGTTTTTGTGGGTGAAACCTTGAGCTGAACTCTCCTGAAATCAATGAACGCTCTAAAGGCCAAGTGCACGGACAACGTTAAACGATAATACCACACCCCAAATTTGGGTCAATTACGAGAAAGGAAAACTGATGGTTTTCGCCAACACTTCGAGCAATCTTCCTCCGGATATTCTCCATACATTTCAGAATATCTCCCGAGAGTTTAATTTCACGCTCCACTGATAATGCTTTTGCCAGTGATGCTCTGTAATATGTGGCACGACGGATCAACCGCAAAACTGCATTTCTAAATTTGCATTTCTGCGAATGGGAAAATTGATTCCACCAAATGAATTCACTGAATGGATTCCAAATGATCGGTATATTCGGGTGACATTAATTTACTACACTGAAGTTCTCTTGAATTTCATTGATATTTCAGCGTAAAATGTAAAATTTTCGGGTGAAAAATTTTTTTTTACCCGGAGCCAAAGTGCCATATTTAGGCTTTTTCCGGGGGAAAGTCGACTTTCGCCAAAATCGAAGTTTTCCGCCGGGTGAAAGCTGATTCCGTATTTTCTGGCCCGCCTAATGCCACTGCGCCCCTCACTTGCCCCAGAAATGCAGAAATAAAATTTTTTTTTTCCACCCCAAGCCAAAGTGCCAGTTCAGTAAAAAAATTATTCAAATAAAATTTTAAAAAATCACTTCTAATTTACAAAGTCTTCATTTGCATTAACCGAAATTCAAGCGAATAGCTGCAGATGAATAATTTCCATCAAATGAATAATTTCCTAAATATCCCCAAATGTTTCCTTGATTCCCCTAAAGGATTCCCCTGAACACTGCAATTTCTCCAATTCAGGGCTAAATTTCTCCGCACATTTCAATGTCACAGAAATTCGGTCAGCAGTCGAAACTGTCCTCACCCGTAGAATGAAATTCCATCTTGAATAACAAGACTCGTTCTTATTTCATCACGATAACCGATTATGGGCAACACGGTACACGAATATATTCATGGGTTCCGATGTAATCCTCCACCAGGTTGATGGGCAATGGGGAAATCGATTCACGTAGAGAGGGCAAAGTTAATTCCCCGGGGAGCGGAAATTTAAATTTCATCATTACAAGCGAGAAGATCGATAAAAACCCAGGAGCACGAGTCGAATAATTTTTTTGTTTCGCAAGAGAAGAAGAGAAATGGAGGGGAAAAAATTGCAGTCCGAAAGGAGTAAGTTTCGATTACTCCAGAAGTTCCAATACCTGGAGTTGATTTCTCGGTGGAGAATGAGGAATTGAATTTTATTTACCCCCACAGATGAAGAATGACACAAAGTGAACGACGAGAGTGACGAAGAAATGAAACACATTTGCTGAGGGGAATTAGAAGAAACGACACGAGCAGTTCTTGTTCCAGATAGCCCTGTACTTTGGGGTGAGGGCGGAGGGGAATGGGAGGATAATGATGACCGAATAAGAGTGTCATCAAAGACAGAAACAGGAAAGGGAAGGGGGATAATGTGAGCCAGCCCTGAATAGAAGTTGAGAGAGAAAGAGAAAAAAGGAGGAAGTGGAGGGAAAAAAAAGGGGCAGATTCTTGTTTTTTAGGAGGAAAAGAGAGCACTCTTGATGGCACACAAAAGACACCCGGAGGAATCTCCTCCGGCCTCTTCAGACCGTGTGGGTTTCTACGGCTCAATGTTGGGGATTGGAGGAATGATAACTCGAGAATTTTTCAGTGGAAAAAATCCTCCGAGGGAACATTTTGCACTGGAGATTTTTCATTCGACATTTATGCTTTCATTTTTTGTGGTAGGGATCTATCGAATTTCATGATTATTTTCAGAAATGTAGAGTTTAGTGAGCTCTATTCATTGACACCAATTAAAATTCAATTTTCAGACAGATATAACTACAGATAAAACTATACTCATTTATTAAAAAATACAATTGTCCACTCGTTTTTGTTCTATCGGGACTTTTATTAAACTCAAAATTTTCTTGACTCAACAAATATTTAAATAAAGACTTTATGAAGACGTCTTGGAGTGAAATGTCAATTTTTTATTGAAAATTTCCCTACAAAAAATTTACGAACCCCACGTTTTCTATTCCAAAATTGGCTTTGCAATCTGTAAACAATTTCGATCAAGGGAGTTTAGGTCATGGTATTATAATCCACGTAGTGCAGCAATCTAGCAGGCAATTTCGATAATTCAAAGGATCCATTTAATTGGTTTCTCCCCTCGTGTCCACTGATTACCGATGAAGGCGTTCTGTGCCCTATCCAAACCGTGGAGACTGGTTTCAATTCCCATTAATCGATTCACCGTAGTTTCACAGAGTCGATTGTAATCACCTCTGCGATTATGCAGGCGTCATTTGAATGAGCTTAACACTCAAGTGACCATCGTACATTGCATCTGTCCTCAATACGTCAAACGTTCAAAAGCGGAGAAATCTCCCCTGTTGTTTGCCATCATTTGACATTGACATCGGACAACATTCGTACGTGTACTTTCGTTTGTTCTAATTTCAGGTGGACAGGGGGTACGACTGTTGAAATGACTCTCCAGGCTACCAACTCCTCTCTCATGCTGGACTAATTTCCCGGTGGAGTTGGAGGTCTCTTGTGATAGGCAAAGTCGCAGGGGCTGGCAGAACTTTGAGGGGGAATGGTTGAGGAAGAAATCGGGGGGTAATTGTAGTGAAAATAGTGAAGTGAGACGGAATTACCGAAGAGGCTTCATGTATTCGTGGAGAAATGATGGAATTTCATTTGAGAGTTTACAATTTCCAGGGATTTTTCATCAAGTTTTCATTAAATTTTGCATTTTCAAAGACGAAATCCCTTGGAATTTTCAGGAATTTAATGGGTTGTTGAAAAAAAGGTAAAATGTCATTTGAAAATTTATCATTTTCATTGATTTTTTGCTAAAATTCTGTTCTTCTAACGTCGAAATTCCTTGGAAATTCTGTGAAAGTTTTTTGAATTTAATATACTTTTGGAAAAAAATGAGAATTTCATTTGAAAATTGAAAATTTTTAGAAATTCAATGAAATTTTAAATTTTTGAACATCTGAAAGACGAGAGTTCCCCAACTTAGTGAATATTCAATACTAAATTACGCAGAATTTTCCATTAATTAGATTAATTTCCCGGTGGAATTGCAGGTCTCTTGTGCTAGGCAAAGTGGTAGGAGCTGTGAGAACTTTCAGGGGGAAATGGTTGAAGGAATCAGGAAGAAATCGTGTATTAATTACACTAGAAATGCTGAACTGAGATCGAATTACCGAAGAGGTTTAAAATATTGTTGGAAAAAGATTGAAATGTCATTTACAAATTTACTATTTCAATTAATTTTTTCATAAAATTTCGCGTTTTCAAAGACTTTCACGAATTAATTGAGGGGAAATAAACAATTTCCTTCGATTGTTCCATAAAATTATGAATTTCGAATGACGAAATCCCCTGAAATATCAGCAGAACCCCAAGTTTTGTAAATCGACCGTCCCATCCCGTTGTCCATCAGGAATTTCTCAAGATATTCGTCAACAATAGACAAATAAATTCCCCTCCTATTTTTCTTTCCCCAGAAATTTCAATTCCCCGAAGTTTCTGGGTCAGCGCGATTTACGATTCCTATATATTAATTGTTGGCATCATGATTGACATGCCCGGGGCTCAGGAATTTCCCGTCCCCGAATTCTGGAATAGATTCGACGTTATCGGTATTCCGTTGGATGACAATATCCTCGACTGTCGAAAAATAGAGGGAAATGTGCGCTTATTAATATCGAACAAATCAGGAAATTGATGGAATGTACGAGGGAGCATTAATTTCATCGAGGAAGTTTATGTATTGTACGCGATCGACTACTGTTTCGTGACAATTGGGGAAATTTCGATGAGTTTATTAAAAATTATTATGTACTCACTCGGTAAGCAATCGTGTTTTCGGGTTGAGTGAGACGCGCCTGTCGCTTCTCGTGGAGGGTTGAGCTGTCTTTGCCATCGCTATCGGAATCTGAAAGAGAATAATTACAATTTTATGAAATAAATTGAATAATTAAACAAATAAATCAAGTTTAACTTGAAATCAATTTAGCCCTTAGCTGAGTTTTTGGGGAATATCTCCGAATCTAAAGGAGATGGCGAAATTTTCGTAGTGACCTTTTTTGTAGAGCGAATCGAGGGCTACAAAAAAGGGCTTGACAAAAATTTTGCTATCTCCCTTAGATTTCGAGATATTCATAAAAAACTGGCGAGTAGTAAAAATCAAGTTGAACCGTTTCACTGAAATTTGTTTCATTTCGATAGAAATATTCCAATCTTGCCTGCAAAAAGCATTAATTATTCATCTTCAAATCCAGCATCATTATAACTATAATAACTTCATGAAATAAATTAAATAATGAAACAAACGAGACAAGTTTCAATTGAAATAAAACAGAAATCATTCAATTTTAGATTCTTTGGAGGAAAATGTTCCAATCGGCCACTCAGAAATGATTATTTATCTTTGAATTGAGCATTACGATCGATATACCCTCCTGAAACCACCAATATCAGGAGAGAAGACTCTATCTCTCAGACATCAACGATAACAACGATTCAATCATAATTCTTTTAATATCCTCCCGTAGATAAACGAGAGACACACGTGTGGCGCAATTGATGTTGAGAATTTTCAACGGTGTGTTAACTGGAAATGAAGATTATAATTATCAGACCTTCCAACTCAGGGTCACAGCAACTCAGAGTGATGAGTCCCGGAGATAGCGATAAAAAAAATTGTCGTTTTATCTGAGATGGCTGATTATACTTCGGTATTTCGCTGTTTTATTGTGGAAATTCCGGCGATCCGGGGGCAAATACATTTCCCAGAGCGAAGGGTCACGATTTTATGATTGTTTACGATTTTATGAAGAGAAAGGGTCGGGGGTAATTGGGTGGAGTGACTTGGAAGTGCAGAAATTCGATTCGATAGTGAATTTGTCAAGTGTCTGATGAAAAATTGAATTTCTAGCTCTTGTTTCTGTTTCTAAATTCACTAGACAGAGAATAAAATTCTGATTTCTGCTAGAGATGTATAAATTTCAGAATTATGTGACATTTCCATTTATTCTGAGAAAATTTTCTTTGGAAAACAGAAAAAAAATTAATTCTCAGTGACGTTTTATTCAATTGAGAGCAGTTTTTGTTATTCTATCGCCGATTTTTGCTGTTTTAAAATTAATCATGTGCCAAATAATTCTGAAATATCTCTGAAATCTGCAATTCCACCCCCACGAATTTCTCGAAACGAGAAGTTATTTTCCAGAAATAAAAAACCGTAAATGGAATTTTGAAAAGAGATGAATAAAAATCCTGCAAGTGAGGACTTAACACTATCACTCGGAGAATATTGCGAAAATGACGAGATAACTGTGTCACCAACCGAACAATTCCTCCACCCCCCCCCCCCCCCCCCC